TAGCTTCGACTCAGATCTGGATGACTCTAAATCACAAACCGGATACATGTATATGTTGAATGGTGGAGCAGTAAGCTGGTGCAGCTGCAAGCAGAGCGCCGTGGCGGGATCTACATGTGAAGCGGAGTACATGGCAGCCTCGGAGGCAGCGCATGAAGCGATTTGGGTGAAGGAGTTCATCACACCTAGGAGTCATACCCAATGCGTCGGGGCCGATCAAACTCTTCTGTGACAACACTGGAGCTATTGCCCTCGCAAAGGAGCCCAGGTTTCACAAGAAGACCAGGCACATCAAGCGTCGTTTCAACTCCATCCATGAAAATGTTCAACATGGAGACATAGAGATTTGCAAAGTGCACACGGATCTGAATGTCGCAGATCCGCTGACTAAACCTCTCTCGCGTGCAAAACATGATCAACACCAGAACTCTATGGGTGTTCGATTCATCACAATGTAACTAGATTGGTGACTCTAGTGCAAGTGGGAGACTGTTGGAAATATGCCCTAGAGGCAATAATAAAAGTATTATTATATTTCAATGTTCATGATAAATGTCTTTTATTCATGCTATAACTGTATTATCCAGAAATTGTAATACACGTGTGAATACTTAGACTACAATATGTCCCTGGTGAGCCTCTAGTTGACTAGCTCGTTGTGATCAACAGATAGTCATGGTTTCCTGACTATGGACATTGGATGTCGTTGATAACGGGATCACATCATTAGGAGAATGATGTGATGGACAAGACCCAATCCTAAGCATAGCATAAAAGATCGTGTAGTTCATTTTGCTAGAGCTTTGCAAATGTCAAGTATCTCTTCCTTCGACCATGAGATCGTGTAACTCCCGGATATCGTAAGAGTGCCTTGGGTGTATCAAACGTCACAACGTAACTGGGTGACTATAAAGGTGCATTACAGGTATCTCCGAAAGTAGTTGTTGGGTTGACACGGATCGAGACTGGGATTTGTCACTCCGTATGACGGAGAGGTATCTCTGGGCCCACTCGGTAATGCATCATCATAATGAGCTCAATGTGACCAAGGTGTTGGACACGGGATCATGCATTACGGTACGAGTAAAGTGACTTGCCGGTAACGAGACTGAACAAGGTATTGGGATACCGACGATCGAGTCTCGGGCAAGTAACGTACCGATTGACAAAGGGAATTGCATACAGGGTTTGATCGAATCCTCGACATAGTGGTTCATCCGATGACAACATCGAGGAGCATGTAGGAGCCATCATGGGTATCCAGATCCCGCTGTTGGTTATTGACCTGAGAGCGTCTCGGTCATGTCTGCATGTCTCCCGAACCCGTAGGGTCTACACACTTAAGGTTCGGTGACGCTAGGGTTATTAGGAAGACTAGTATGTGACTACCGAATATTGTTCGGAGTCCCGGATGGGATCCTGGACGTCACGAGGAGCTCCGGAAGGGTCCGGAGGTAAAGATTTATATATGGGAAATTGTCAAACGGACATCGGGAAGTTTCGGGGTCATACCGGTAGTGTACCGGGGCCACCGGAAGGGTTCTGGGGGTCCACCGGGAGGGGCCACCCCTCCCGGGGGGCCACATGGGCTGCGTGGGGCAGGGAGCCAGCCCCTGGTGGGCTGGCCGCACCCCCTCCCTTGGGCCCTTGCGCCTAGGGTTGAGGGGGGAACCCTAGAGGGGCGCCCCCTTGGCTTGGGGGGCAAGCCACCCTCTCCCCCTCTCCCCTTGGCCGCCGCACCCCCCCTAGATGGGTTCTAGGGGGCCGGCCCCCTTCTCCCTTCCCCCTATAAATAGAGGGGTGAGGGGAGGGCAGCCGCACCACCCTCCAAGGCGCAGCCCTCCCCTCCCCAACACCTCTCCTCCTCCGTTGTGTGCTTGGCGAAGCCCTGTCGGAGTACTGCCTCTCCACCATCACCACGCCGTCGTGCTGCCGGTGGAGCTGTCTTCCTCAACCTCTCCTTTCCCCTTGCTGGATCAAGAAGGAGGAGACGTCTCCCGTCCCGTACGTGTGTTGAACGCGAAGGTGCTGTCCGTTCAGCACTTGGTCATCGGTGATTCGAATCACGTCGAGTACGACTACATCATCACCTTGCAAGCTTCCGCACGCGATCTACAAGTGGTATGTAGATGCAAACTCTCTCCCTTGACTCGTTGCTTAGATGAACTCATAGATGGATCTTGGTGAAACCGTAGGAAAAAATTTAATTTTCTGCAACGTTCCCCAACAATACTACCCACTATGAGGCTGGTTGCAATGGGAGTATCATAGCTAGTATCATGCATGCCAACTAGGCAACTTTGATGAGATGGCATAGAATTAAATGAAGTAAGAGAGGGTTGAGTATCATATCATGATACCGTATCATAATAAATGCTACACTAGTATGTGTCATGCATGGCAATAAATAAAGTCATCTATGATACTACCATATGATACTATGCATTAGGGAGGTAGTATCATACACTAGTATCATATGCATGATACTACCCATTACAACCAGCCTGAAAGTAGTAACATAGAGTAGTAACATATGCATGCTACTAGTCTAAGTTACTCTCCACTATGACCAGCCTGAAGGTAGTAACATAGTCTAGGAATATGTATATGTTACTAGTGTACTCCCTCCGTCCTTTAAAGAGTGTACTTCTAACTTTGTTGGAGGGTCAAACTATCTCAAAGTTTGACTGAGTTTGTGCAAAAATATATTAATGTTTGTGAAATCAAATAGGTATATAATAAAAGTATATTTTATCACGAATCTAATGCTACTAATTTGATGGCATAAATGTTGATGTATTATTATATAAACACGGTTAAATATAAAAAAATTTGACTTTTCAAAAAAGTTGGAAGTACACTCTTTAAAGGACGGAGGGAGTATGTTACTATGCAGCTGGTCTAAGATACACCGCGGTGGAAACGCACGAGACGTGACGACACGGAGGCGAGGAAACGAAGACGGAAGGCAGAGCAACCGGCAGCACAGCCCTCAACTCAAAGCAAGGGGAAGAAGGCTTCCAGTCCAATCAAGCCCCAAAGGGTCAAGGAGGAGTCGAGGCCTCGAGGGAGATCGAGGTCGGCATGGGGATCGTGGAGACGTGGGTGCGCGAGAAGCCCATCCGCACCTTCCTCTCCCGCCTCTCCCGCCAGTCGGCTGCCGCCTTCGTCGCCTCCACCACCTCCCGCTCCCCCGCGGCGGCCGATGGCGAGGGCGGTGGCGGCGGCGCCGACGGAGGCATCCCGCAGCTCTCGTCCGTCGCCAACTCGGTCGTCTCCCGCTGCTCCCGGTGCGTACGGGCCTTCCCAACCTCAAACTCGCTCCGGTAGTAGCAAGGGTTCGAGGGCAGAAGTTCGATTCAAGCCACGCACTCTTTGCTCTTCGACTCACTCACCCAACTGTTGCTTATTGCTTGCCCCAAATTCGTTCGATCGGTTCATTTGAGGCGTGTGCTTAAATGCTCCATGGATATCTGAAATCATCTTAGCATGTTCAGCACCTATGATATGATTGCTCTCTGACTGTTAATTTAATTGGCTTAATTCGATAGGAAACGCATGCGTGCTTTTCTGTATTACTTTCTTTTCCCTTGTTTTTTTAAATACTATCGTGCTTTGATTCACATCGTCGGAAATTATTGTTCTCAGGGTGGGAAGAGTACTGGAATTGATGTACTGGAGTATCTTTTAGTTGGACACATGAATTTATAGGGCCCCAATTGGTCTCCCCTGACAGTGTTCCAGTGAGTCTCAGGGATTCACATAGTTTTGGTGTATGACCGTTGACATTGACTTGCTTCACATGCATAGGGCATGCCGATTTCGCCATTTTGGCTAGACTGCACATTCAATTGATATATTATGCATCTGGCAAGATCCACTGAAAACAACGATCAATCAGCATAGTCACACCACTACGGTTAGTCAAAATTTAGCTGCCATCTACTAAAATTAGCTCATATAGAGAGGATATGAGGCTGCTGATTTTCTCTACATAAACTGTTACATTCTGGAAGTCGAGAGATAATAATAGCCAATTATTTCTGGACATTTGTATGACACACTTTGATACTTCGGTAATGCTCACATGTCATTACTCATCATATAAATGAGCAATTGGTGGTGATGGCCTGTTTGCTTCTACTTGTACTAACCGTGGAAATTGAATGGTGGGGCTGCTGATTTTCTGTGCATGAACACTTACATTGTGGAAACCGAGTGCAATAATAGCTATCCATTTCTTGACATTTATACGACACACTTCGATTTTGATACTCTGCTAATGCCAACATGTCGATACTCCTATTAAAGGTAATAATTGATTGTGCCATACTTTTCGCTACCAATGGTTGAGACAGATGGGATTGCCAGATTGCTCATCACCCAACTTAAATATGTTTTGCAAAGACAACCTGATCTATCACGAATTTGTGGATATGCCTAGCAACACCTCAATTCCATAAAGTAATTAGTCTAACATGTAGTAAAAAGTTGTGGCCCATAGCATCGCACCAGGTTTCTTGCTAGTAATTGCTTGATATACAGTGGTTCTTACTGTATCTGGTCTTGTTGTGAAATTAGAAAGTAAAGCAGCATAAGTTAGCCACAGTCGAATCAGCTAAATCCGAACGCACCTTTTTGATCAAGTCAAGTTCTATACTTTGAAGAACTTTGTAATTAGTCTTAAAAACATGACATCACCTTATTCGCTCCTAAAATTTCCACTATTATACCCTTCCATTCATATCGTTGCTGTGATGTCTGACAAGCTTCTACTTCAGTTCCTCTCAAAATGATTACTTCTAAAGTCAAGTGCTTAGTTTCCTCAGTTTTACAATTTCAGGATTCTTGCTGTTGCGACTAAGAACTTACAGCAAAGTTATGAGGCTGATTTCCCAGATAATTGTAAGGAACCCAATACATATGCCAGAGAACTATTAGAGTACTGCTGCCACAAAGCTCTCCATGAAGTAACTACACGTCCAGACTATTTGGCTGATATGAATCTTCGTCGTTTAATGTTCGATATGATGCTTGCTTGGGAAAACCCAGGTTCTGAGGAAGGATTGCTAAAAAATGTGAGAAATTTTCATTGCCGCAGTTGGTCACCATATACCATTCGTCTTCCCTTTTTTCTTTATCAAACAGTCGTGTTTGAAGCATAAATAAATAACACCTGCATATTCTGAAGAGAAATTTACAGTTCTAACTTTATGATATTCATCATTCTTTCTATTTATTGTGATTGTCAGAATTCTACCTTGTGTAATACCGTGGAGATTGAAGATGAAGACGAGGGATCAATTTTCTATGCGAATTCCACAAGTTTAGCTGTTCAAGTTAGTTCTGTTTACAAAACATTGGTTTTTTTTTTTGTTACGACCACATTTCTTCATGTGTGTGCACACGATGATTTAGTGCTGTTCATTTTTAGGTTAACGACATGAAGACAGTTGGATTAAGTGCTTTTACACGAATAGCGCCTTCATGCCCAATAATAGCTGACTTGGTTACTGTCCACAATCTGTTTGATGCACTTACATGTTCATCTGGTGGCCGGTTACATTATTTCGTATACGACAAGTATCTCAAAAGTTTAGACCGGTAAGAAATACAGTTGATAGATGATCAAACTCTCATCATTTATTTTCCCTACCTTTGTTAATGTCTATGGAATCAATGTATGAATACCCTGATCACTGTTAGTGATGGCTTCAAATTAAATAGACCAAGTTCATATTCTCTACAACTGTAGTTGCAGCATTAGGTGTTTTTATTGTGGAATTGATATTTTATTGGTAGTGCTTTCTATTGCCCCAGTTTTTTTTCCAGGGATACTGAACCCTAGATTTAGAAGCTTTCCCAAACAAACCTTTTGACCAGGAAAAGGGTATGCTATGAATCTATGGTTGATTCAGTAAATATATTAAGAAAAATATCCATTTTATTGTGTAGGGTATTCAGATCTATCAAAGGAGTTATGCAGTCATCACTTGCTTCAAGTTTTAATCTTGATGCTGGGGAATGTATCTTAGCTATTGATGGTGACAAGCCTATTCATCCTGTACTGCAGCATATTGGGATATCAGCTTGGCCAGGTGAACTGACTGACTGGCATTTGATTTTCATTTTGCAGGCATGCTTCATTTCAGGAACCCACTAATCATCTCTTTATTTTGGCAGGAACATTGATCCTTACAACACATGCTCTTTATTTTCAGAGTATCAGAGTTGGTTACGGTGATAAGATTGTTAAATATGATTTAGCAACAGATTCAAATCAAGTGATCAAGCGAGATTTTACTGGACCATTGGGTGTTCGTCTGTTTGATAAAGCTGTGATGTACAAATCAAGCACTTTGTAAGTATTGAAATGGGAAGAGTTCTCTAGTACTCCCTCTGTAAAGAAATATAAGAGTGTTTAGATCACTAAAGTAGTGATCTAAGCGCTCTTATATTTGTTTACGGAGGGAGTACTTATGTTACTGAGCACTGTAGGTGTACTTTCATAGGTTTCCTTCAAAACTAACAGCACCATATTTGCAGAACAGAACCAATTTATTTCGACTTTCCTGAGTTAGGGAGCCCCTCACGAAGAAACTATTGGTTAGCAATCACTCGTGAAGTAATGCAGGTGAATAGATTTATCAGAAAATTCAACCTTGAAGATATTCAGAGAGCAGAAGCACTCTCAAAGGCTGTCCTGGGCATCTTGAGATACTCTGCTGTGAAAGAAGCTTTTCATATTGCTCCCTCTCACTTTAAGACAACACTCACATTTAGCTTAGCTGAAAAACTCCCAAAAGGAGATATGGTATTAGAGGCCCTATACAACAACTACTTCCAACTGTTGGACACTTCATTGAGCCATTTGGCAACAGAGCCAGCAGTTGACAAAGCACCGCAGACTCATTCTGTACCATTTTCATTATATGCTCTCTCTAGAATGGGATTTAACTTGTTGAATAGAAAAAATGAAACTGAAAAGGAGATAAGCTTTTGTGCTGTTTGTGTTGGTGTAACAAAATCTCTTGAGGCTGCTTTGCAAGAGTCATTTCTTTATTCTGAAAGAATAGAGGCAGCACGTGCTACGGTTGATCAAGTGAAGGTGGAAGGTCTTGATGCAAATGTAGCCCTCATGCAGGTGTGCTGATAAGATCAATTTAAATTGTTCTTTTCCAACCAAATATGATGTGCTGTACAAGTACAGTATTGCCATTTCATATTTGATGATTGGCCCTTATTTTGCAGGAGATACTTTTTTCGTTCATTCATGCAGGCAAACTTATTTACTCTTTAACCAAGTGGGAAGATCCTCTGAAATCATTTTTGTTCTTAGCTTTTATCCTCTATGTTATCCAAAGGTAATTTCGTTGTGTTTGCTGGATCTTATAAAGTATGCTTACGTATATCGCTTTGCTTAATATGTCTTTTCGTTGTTATGTAGCGGGCTTGTCAGTTACACTGTGCCCTCTGTTTTCGTAGTCTTTGCTGTCGTTATGCTTTGGCATAAATACAGTGAAGAAGGAAAACTGTTGGAAGTGCTTGAAGTAAGACCCCCTCCAACTAAAAATCCTGTCGAGCAAATCTTGATCTTGCAGGAAGCTATATCCAAGTTGGAAGATACCCTACAGGCTGTAAATATTGTTCTTCTCAAGTTCAGAGCTCTCTTGTTTGCAGCTGTTCCAAAGGTTTGCCCTTGCTGTTGCTTTTGAATATAAGTCTTGTTTATTGAGGGATATAGTCTAGCAAACTCGCAGTGCGTCGATAAATCTCTTGATGTGCTTACCTCTTTGATGTATTTTGTTTTACAATTTGACACAACTTAGTGATAACATTTATTTGACTCATCGGATATGAGCCATTTCTAGCCCAGTGATTCAACCTTGCACATCATTGCAAAATAAGTTATCTTTTTAACTATACAAAGAGGTCTATACATATGTGATAGTTTACATCCAGCATTGCACATCATTGCAAAATAAGTTATCTTTGTAACTATACAAAGAGGTCGATCTGCCAAAATGCTAATCTCCATATTTTCCCTATGCAGGCAACTGAAATAGTCGCAGTGGCACTTCTTGTTGCAGCTGCGGTTGTCGTGTTGATGCCTCCTAAGCATCTGCTCCTGATGGCAGTCCTGGAGGTTTACACGAGGGAGATGCCACTAAGGAAGCAACACACAGAGAAGTTCCGAAGACGAATTAAAGAGTGGTGGGCCCGTATTCCAGCCGCTCCTGTACAGATGATCAGACCTAATGAAGACAAGAAAAAGATATGACTATGAGCTCTGTGTCCATTGCAACTGAGAGCTCACAATTTTCCCCAATCGCCTAGGCAGCTAACATGTACAGATATCACCCCTGATTGCCCTGTGAATCGTTTCCACTACATTTGTAGTGCTGAATGCTAATGATGTCTCTTGATTAACAATGTAATCATTGTACATTTGTCATTGTTATCGATGCATAAAAAGGTACAAATATGTCTATACAAACAGTTGTGTTGAATTATTGGGCTTCCAAGTTCCGATGCAAGTTCTGTAAGCAGAGAGTTCTCTTTTTGTTCCCGACTGCTATGAAGGTTGCCTAGATCATGTATTGACAAACTTCAGGTGATCTGGAGTCCGGACAAGTTCCGAGCCGTTGCTTATGCGCGCTCTTTCCTGACAGTAATAAGTTGTTCGAGTTTCTTTTTGTAAGTTATGTAAGCAGAGAGAGTTCGAAAATCAATTTCTGAGCCCGAGCTCAGATGATCCTGATGTCTACACCTCAACCTCACCTATGGATGCGTGCCATCCAGTGTATTTTGCTGCCGTATTTCATTTTATTTAGCCAGCTGATGGTTCGCATTGATTGCGACGGCGTGTCGTGTTGGAGAGGCGGAACAGGCTGTACCTCGACGGATCGGTTTTGTTTCTGAGCCCACCTGAGCCGTGCACTCACAGGTTTAGCAAACGGCGAGTTGGTGATGAATAAACTGTTTTTCACCCCTCAAAAGGAAAAGCAAACGGCGAGTAGACGAGGTCAGCTAGATGGATCACCTCTCCCTGTTAATGCAGTCATCGTTTTTGTCAGCAAGCCTGACACATTATCTACACGGAAGCCTGATCATGTGGCGTATTTACACGGGAACCTGATCATGTGTACGTCGAGTGTTCAATCCACAGGACAACTAGACACACAACAGATGCCGATTTACCTCATCCACTCCTTCGCTACTCTCTGCTGGCACACGTGTTGTACTCCAAGCACTAGTTGCAGTCCCAATAATGTCATCTAGACCACAGTAAACATATAGTGTTCTAGTAGAACCTGTCAGTCCTAGCCCTAGCTGAATGAGGCCACCAGAAGTAAGATTCAGATAAACCTGACGGCCCCTAGCAGAATGAGTCCAGCAAAAATAAGATTCAGATAAAAGACTGAAGCACCCAACTGAGTGAAGCAAGTACACCCAGTTTACAATTAAGCAAGCATCATTCTACAAATGATCAGGAAACATAGTTTAGGTCTAAAAGTTGGACTACTTATCATGACTCTTGAAAGTGAGGAACAAGCGCAGAGCAATGCTCACACAAACACACTAGAAAATCCTCGTAACAATAGAACAGAAACAGTATTTCAGACTTCATTCTACAAAAATTGCAAGTTGTCCGGCAGTGCCCTTCCATACCGCAATTCTTGCACTTTCCAGGCTTCCGTGGTTTCTTCGGCGCATCCCCTCTTTCAGGGGAAGTAGTCCATTTGTGCCCCTCGCACCTACATATGCTGTACAATCTGATCCGCTTATTCAGACCCTCGTACGGTGCCTTCTCTCTTCTACTTGTCGGTCTCCCGACCCCTCTTTGCTTTTCTGGAGCTGTTAGGCCATGGAAAGCATTGATGCTGGTCCTAAACTGTTGAAAGAAGTTAGTTACCCTTAAAACGTGGCTGCACAACATCCCAGTGTGCTCGAACTGACCGCATTCACACGAGGTATTTAAGTGCGCTTTCTGAAATTGTACTTATCTAATAGCATGTTCCACGCCGCCTCAAACTCATCTTCAGTTAACATGTGGTTGACAACCTTATGGAATTTAGCCTGGAAATCAGACTTCTTCGTGTACAGTTGCCGTAATGTCTCCTTGACTTTCTTCAGCACATGCCATTTGCACCACCTGTGCACAGTCCCCGGATAAACTTTCTTGATTGCCACCTCCATGGCTCTGTTCTGATCTGCAACCATGAATGGCAAGAGTTAGGTCCAACGAACTATTCATATATATGATCATTCTAAAGGAACTTGAACATTCTTTTCATAAGCATAGTTTGTGAAAAACTCTAGTTGACTCACCTGTCAGAATAGTCT